AGGTCCGACCTATGATCAGCGGAAACAGTCGATGGCAAATGTGACAGGCAACGAGTGCCCCAGGGCAACTCCATCAAACAGTCTGGCCATCTTGCTCCCTCAACGAGGATCCTCCAGCGTCCCTTTTGAAAACACCAGTCTGACGTTGGGTCCGTCATGATTCTGGCCTACGCCTCCTGTGGGGCACGCCATCGTCTGTTCGCAGTTGTCACAAGTCGCCTGCTACAACTATCATCGCTGCCATCGAAGCATCTTGTCAGCACAGTTTGCTGTGTCAAGTATTCAACGTCTAGAACCGTCGTTGTTGGCGTGGAGTTCTTAAGCGACGATCTTTCGGAGGTTTCTTCCCCTGCATTGGAGAAGTGCACAGATACATCCCGCCGCGCCAGTTGCACTGCAACCTCAACAGTTGGCCATGACACCCGGTCCCTGGATCGGACGACTTACATCATCTCGTCTCTGCAGAGAGATCAGATGTCATCCCATCTGACCACATGGCTTAATGAAGCTCACATATTGACTTCGACTGCAATGCGTCCAAGTTTGCTCTAATGAAACTCACTGCGGAGGCAACAGCGCTACTCCGACATCGCTATCCCAGTTAATCGACATAGCACGCAGGGTTTTCCTTTGCACCACTATTTCGTCTCAACTGCGCGCTTGATGCACAGAATTAGCCGCTGTCTTACGCCACTGCAGTCCAATCATACTCAGTCATGGACGCCCTGGCCATCACGATAACGCAGGTGGTTTTGACTGGGGCAACCTTGAAGTTGTTCGTTGCGAACGAGATGAGGTTTCGTTTGCACCCAGGCCCCCAAACATCCTTAATCTTGCCAACAAGATTTCACTGAGGGGTTTTCTGCCCTGCGTCCCTCTTTTCCTCCCTCCACCATCGACTGCCGTCGACCCGCGGGCCACACGGCACATCAGCAAGCCAGCCGTTCAACCCCGGGGAATGCGGCATCCCCTCTAGACTGCTGTGGATACCCCGACAGAGACCCAGTTATCTTTGGAGGTGAGCCGTCAATTCACCACCCATCAGCTCATCTCCGGCCCACGCCCGGGAGACGTGCGGTGCACCGCAAATTTGACCCGCCCAGTCCAGAACATTACAAGAAGTTGGGTTGCGAATCCTCCGAGGCAAACCTGGCATGAACCTGGCGGACGTGCTCGAGGAACCCAAGATCTGTCGAACCAAGGCTCGCGCACTGGGAATCTATTGGGCGAGCCGAAAATGAATACTTTGTGCTGGGTAAGAGTTTTGATCCTCAGTCCACCTCTGGTTGGCCGACAGGCATCGAAGAAGCCGCACAGTCTTGCACTCCCGAAACATGTCGGTTGACGATGGCTGCGGCCAGTTGACACGGCCCAGCGCCTGGAGTTACACAAGGTTGCGCTACGCAGACCCCCATCCTGAGCATGACCAACCCCTTTTACTGTCCCCTCCTTATCTCTCAGTCAAAAATCAACCTTGACGTCAATCCATCGCGGTTTCACGATGGCATCACGAATGATCACATTCATCCCATGAAATCATGCTCATGACAGTTTTTGGTGTTTGCCCTTTGACAATGCTGACAATATCACCCAAACAAGATGATGAAATAGGATTCAAGGGTCCCAGGCTACTGCAGGATCTCAACTCCTACAATTTATCATGGGGGAAAAGTCTCAGACAATTGGTGAAACTTTGCCAGGATGCTTTTTCAATCGCCAGCCGAGACCAACCCGCCGATATATCAGCGAAGGATGGTATTTGTAACTCAATCTCCATATTATGGGGTATTGGAGCTCATGCGGCAAACAAGCCGTCGTCCTGCATTTGATATCCGTGTTGGATCTAGGATCTCGATACACAAACAGCACCGCTCTTTGTCGGCTCCTCCGGGGTAGCGGAGGCTCTTTTCGTGCTACGTCGTACATGAAGCGAATACTTTCCAGCTTACTCAATGTCTGAAATTTCGAATCAAATGAACCTTTGTAGTTCAAGCTATTGCGCATGGGTCGTCTCAAATTCGCTTCTATCTTGGGTTGTCGATTCATCCCAAATGCACCTTGACTTGGAGGGACACAGCAAGCCAGCTGACTTTCTCTATCGCTCCTGTATCCCCTGGAGGCAGTTTCTAGAACCCGGCCCTGACTCTGTGCTTAGCGTCCAGAAGCGCCCACGGGAGGACAGTCATCGCATCAAGTCAGGGTCGTCGTGCAAAACGTCAACCAGCTCCTCGCGTTCTCCGCGCAGCGTGCCACCCACCATTACGCATCTCGCTGTTTCGTCCCTCTCGGTTTTAAGCCACAGGAATCAGGGAGACGAGTACGTTTGGCGACGTGGCTTACATGCCATGCCATCCCCGCGTCTGAAGTATATTGCATGCTTTGACGATGTCACCGGCACGGCTTGCCCAAGCTGGCCTTGCAGCCGTTCACCTGTGCAGTCGACGGCGAACTACACAAGAACAGTGCATACCCTTGAGTCAGGCTGCTGACTGGCTGGGTCTGACAAATCAGGACGAAGTCGATGGCTGAACGGAAGGCTACTCACATCAAGAGCGTGATTGTGGCTGAACCCTTCTCAGATGACACCTGAATACGGGCTTTTGAGCTTTGCTTATTCGTCAGAACTTTGTTGCATCGTTACGCCCGAGGGAGAAAAGACCCATCTCACGCTGAGATGTCTCGGGTGACTGCTCAAAGGTGATATATGCAGTCTTGACAGCTGAGAAACCACGCGGGGCCAGATTCCCGACGGAAGCTTGTATTCAGTATCCTAGAGAAGGCCTTCGACTCATTCTCACCGTCCTTGCGGGACACAGTCCGGAGGAGCCCTGACGGGCAGTGGAAGGAAACGTTGCACACCATCAAGTGACAAGGCAAAGTCAATACAGAGACAGTAGAGCCGGTCCTTTCCGGTCTCAAGCGGATGACAATCCCTCTCGATATCGCCAGAGCGGAAGCGGCCTCCGGCTTTGCAGGACACTGATCGGCGTGTCTTGCGGGACGTGGTCGTTGATTGGCGTGCGTCGTACGGCACATGTCTATAGCTGCGATGATGGAAAGATCGACGCGGGGCACTATGCTTAGAGGTTGCAAAAAGGTTTGAGGGGGTTCGGGTGTTGGCGGGGAGCTGCCTCTGAGATGTTGCTCGAAAGGAGGGGCGGAGAGGGGGTTGAGGTCGGATGAGGGAGGGGAAAACGCATGGCTGCTGTCGTCTCCCGACGGCGGCTGAGAACTGCGAATTCCCGCGGGGGGAGATGGGGCGATGGTCCTGTCGCTGTTAGCTGTTTGCCATCGCTGGCTGAGTGTTGTCTCGACGCATAGCAGCAGACAAACACGTCGAAGAAGAATGAGGCGAGGACGAGAGCCGCAAAGCCATTGGTTGATCCCAGGTCTGATTTATGACATATGTACACAGCGTTTTTCTATCGCCAGCCTACATTTCTCTCTCCGCCTCAACGCAAAGCCAAAACAACGTTTCCCCGCATTCATGAATCCAGCCGTCTACGACGCCTGCTTGCTGCCCTCGGCCTTTGACGGGGGGATGAAGGGCTTGCCCTCCATGGTGTTGATGGCGACATCGGCGTAGATCATGTGAGGGCGGAGCTCGACGGGGGTGACGCCGGGGCGCTGGTCGGGGATGTGCTTCTCCAGTTTCTGTAGCGGACGTCAGCTTATATTGTGTGTAGAATCTGGCCAGCAAAGATGTTTCCCTCTGCAACGAAGCAATTCGGGGTCTTCCTGGGCCATGGGTGGTGATAACGTACCAGGTTCTCGTAAACACACTTGTTCAGCTTCCACTCCATCGGTCTGCACTGGTAGAGCTGGTGGTTGCGGTTCTCGATGCAGGTCCAGTGGGCGCGGAACTGCTCGAGGCAGTGGGTGTTGATGTCCTTGATCCTGTGTTTGTTCCGGTCAGCCTTCTGTCGTGGTTCATACCGCCCGTATCATATATCTCCTCCGTAGCCCCAACCGAAGGTCCCCTCGCAGCCACCATATCCATTGACAGCCAAGAAGGGAAATAACCATAACGTACACGCTGGAGGCGCATCTCGTGACCCGGCGGCCCTCCTTCAAGCAGTCGAACTCGCCGCGGCCCGCACTGTCCGTCTTGCACTGCATGAAGTCGTCATTGTATTCGCGGCAGCGGGCGCCGATGAAGTAGGACGCAGACAACAGGGGCGCGGAGCTGGCGCCGACCTCCTTGACCTTGGGGATGTCGTCGGGGAGCGGGGCCGTGTCGACCTGCTGCTGCTGGTTGAATCTGTTCGCATATCCGGTGATTAGCTTGCTGTTGATGGAACTTTTTTGGCGCGGAGGGATGAACTCCCGCCGATTGGCTCACGGGGCGCCAATTGGTGCGGCGGAGGGAGGTGAAGACATACTGGGGCCGTCGGGAAGACATTGTTGCTGTTGTGGTGATGGCCGCGGGGGTGGGTGGGAGGACGGGACGTCGGGGACGGATTCGCGATTGCGTCGTCTGGCGGGCAAGCTTTCGACGGCTACGGACGCTTGGGAATTGAGGTGAGGTCGATTTAGCGGGTGTCTGATTGGTTCGGTTCGATGGCGAGGCTGGAGTGGAGCCTTGCTCTGTGGCGCGTCCCGGTGTAGGTGTGGCTGCTGCTTTCGGTGAAGCTCAGGTCAGGTCGGGTACCTGCGAGCTCCGATTTATTATTTTCGCGTCGCCGTTGCTTGGGGATCAGACGCCGACACTTTCAAGGGTAGCTTTCCGGTGGTGAATTTCGCACCCGCAGCCCGATTGAAGATTCTCCTGCGACATCTGCTTGCTGGCTCCTTCCAGAAGCACGATTTCATTCTTCTTTTTCCGTCGTTTTGATACCCGCGAAGGCCCTTTATTTTCCCATTTTCCTTTGACGATGCAATAAGGGTCCCCTGCATTGTTTTCTTCTGCGAACCGACTTTGCGCATCAATCTCAACCTCAGCCTTGCGACCACGACCGATTGACGCCCGAAGTAACGGATAAATCACTCGCATCGTCGCCATGAGTTTATTCGGAGCGCCGAAGCCCGCTGGGCAGACGGGCGGTGGCCTTTTCGGCGGTGGAGGATTTGGCAGCACCTTGGGGCAGTCGACGCAGCAGCCGCAGCAGCAGCAACAGCAACAGCAACCAGCCCAGCAGCAGGGCGGCCTCAGTCTGTTCGGCCAGCCGCAGCAGAACCAAGGAAGCACCCTCGGCTTCGGGCAGTCTTCTGCCCAGCCTCAGCAAGGCCAACAACAACAGCAGCAGCAGCAGCAGCAGCAGCAGATGCCCAGCCTGTCGCAGTCGCAAGCGCAGCTGTCCAGCTCACTCTGGCAGCCTGGCAGAGACACACCTCGTACGTGGCCCCCTTTCACCTTCCTCTTACTGATTGAGCATCCGTCTGACCATCTACCACGCAGAGAACCAAAAGCCCATACCCGAGCAGATGGCCCTCATCATCGAGAAGTGGAACCCCACGAACCCCAACTGCGCCTTCAAGCACTACTTCTACAACAAGGTCGACGAGGCCGCGGTGCCCTTCTACAAGCCCGGCCCGCACGAGGACCCCAAGGAGTGGGAGGAGGCGCTGCAGAAGAAGCCCGCGCCGGGCTTCATCCCCGTCCTCTGCACGGGCTTCAACGGCGTCGCGGCGCGCCTGCAGACGCAGAAGAAGGTGGTTGGCGAGCTCAACGTGCGCCTGCACCAGATCAACGCGAGCCTCGACGCGATCCTGTCGCGGCACGACCTCGAGACGAGCGTGCGCGCGCTGGCGGCCCGTCGGCGGCACGTGGTCCTGCGGGAGCGGTGCCTCGCGCTCGCGGCGCGGGTGCAGGTGCTGCGCAACCGCGGGTACGCGATGAGCGGGGACGAGGACGACCTGCGGCTGAAGCTGGCGGAGCTGGAGCGCAGCGTACAGGACCCGGCGCTGGCGGCGAGGGAGGAGGAGCTGTGGAGCAGACTGATTGTGTTGAGGGACTATGCGGACCAGCTGATGAAGGAGGCGAACAAGCCTGCCTTTGCGAGCGGCGAGGGTCTGAACGAGGAGACGGAGCACAAGGCGAAGAAGGTCAGTTTTCTTGTTGAGAGGCTGGGTTTGATGCAGTGGCTAACTTGTTGCAGGTATTGGAAGACTACGAGAAGCAGATTCAGCACCTCAAGAAGGAGGTCGAGTCGATCACAAAAGACTTTGAGCAGTGGGAGAAGGAGCGTAACCCTTCGTCATGAGTCGAGCGAGGAGGGTTTCGGGTTGAGTTGTCAAATTCTTGTTATAATAGAGGACCGGATCGGCGCGAGCGGAAGCTGTTTTCATGTGGGAGTAGGAACCATAGCTCATCGCCCATGAAAGGCACCAAAAATAAGTGAGGAGCACGTGGAAACGCAAGAAGACGGGGTCCCTTGGGTGTCTCTAAAGTCGTGATGTTCGATTGTCCCTGGATTCCGATGTGATCTATAGTCATAGCCCATCCATACCAGCCGTTTGTACATTTGTACACATGATATTTTTACAACGGGGACATTCTAATTGTCCCTGTACACCCGTCTCCCAGCCATTATGGCTCTACCTGCCGTATGCTTCTGCGTCTGCGGCATGTCTTTTGGAGGGTCTGAAGCAGATGTTCTGCGTCTGTTTCTGTTCTTGGGCCCTATGGCAGGCCCATGAGGTGCATGTTTGGTCGGTGATGGTAATTTACAGGACCTTGGAGGCGAGGTCGACGGCGAAGGGAGCTGTTGATGGACGGTCAGTAAGGGCTCTTGAGGCTTGATGCTGGTTGTGAGGGCACTCACAGAGGTACAGCAGGACGGCAGAGACGAGGACCTGCTGGACGGTGAAGCTGGCCTCGGCCTCCATCTGCTTGATCTCCTCCTCGGAGAGCTGGGGGGGCGCGACTGCGAGACACAGCCAGGTCAGTTATTTCAGTTCTTTCCGAAGGGTGCAACAGTGGGTACGTACATCCTCCGAACATTTTGAGTGTGGGGTATTAAGGTATCGACGGGACGGAGAGGTTGGTGATACTTTTGCTCTTCTGCGCGTGGCCCGGTTCAGCGATGATGTCGTCGCAAAAATTTAGAGATAGCTGCTGGATGGGTCCCACGCACTATCCAGCCTGGGCGGTACGTACCTTACCTTTCCACCTGGTGCGGCTCTTTAGTGGTGGTGGGAATGCTCGAGTTTCTCACAGTGTGCGCAGCGGGTGCCATTTCAACATGCACTCGGATTTGGCCACCGAGCGTGCTCGGGTAGCCATCCGTCGGCCTGATGCCAGCACTGGAAACACCACACAACGCTGTGGTGGGGGAGCGCCACCCCTGTCCCTGTGCGGCTCGCGGTGCGCACCTCTGAGTGGCTGGATGGTCTGATTTTGGCACAGTCATCCCGGGCCGAGGATAGCCCGTCGCATGTTTTGCAGTGTTGGCTTCGGGGGCCCCCAGGATGGAGGGGTGCTTGATGGCTGGGGAACTGCACATGGAGCCGGATGGTTCTTATCGGGCTGGCTTTTAGCGCGCTTATCAGCGGACCTTAATATTTCTGTCGCGATAAGGATTGGCGGCGGGCGGTTTCTCAGTGTGCGCTCATCCATTCCTGGCGCTGCGCTCAACCCGCAACGAACCGAAGGGGTGGTGGTTCCTTCGGGCTGCCCAGGTACCTCTCATCATGCCTTACCGTACTGAGGCCGGGTAGATCCAATACCAGTGAGGACCCTTTAGCAGGTGGTAGGTGGGAGCTGCAGCAGAAGCGGCGGTAGGGTGCTCGACTCAGAAACGGCCATCCCGGGACTCCCAATGGGACCCTTTTACTTGGACCTTACACGCCTCAAAAAGCCAAAAATTCAAAGACGTTTGGCAGCCGGCTTCTCACCGACTTCTCCAAATTCGAATCAGCCAACTTACGGCCATTGCTGCGCGTCTTCTGCAGCGTTTTCATTTGTGTCTCACTCGACCAAGGTAGATAAAGATCCTGAAAAAGTCTCCGTGTCATCGTGTTTGAATCAACGGACGGGAGAAGGAGCGCGCTGTTGCTCTGGCCCCTCCACCCTCCCCCGTCCCGAGTCGGTCTCAAAGGTGGCGACAAGGGTGTTGCTTTTCGAGCGCAGCGGCAACGATATCGGTCTTCGGTCCCCGATCCGAGCAGCTCATACAAGAAAGACACCACCACCACCGCAACGGCTCGAACTTCTCGTTCACTCGCCTCTCCTTCCCTTATCCTCTACTCACAACTTTCTTCACATAGAGGGTTCGTCAGTCGCTGTGGTCTGACCAATCTCATTCCTTTTTTTTCTTCTTCCAGGGAAAAAGAGAGATTATACCCTCCCCCCTTCTTATCGCCACACACATTCCTACACATTCACAGCCATGGCATCACTGAGGTTGCCCCTCTCCCGCCAGCTTCGGCTGGTGGCTCCGCGGTCGAGGGTCGTTGGTCGCCAGACGGCCCCCTCACCGTGGGTTTGCAACTCTTGCGTTGCCTCCGGCATGGCCCCAAGCCGTGTCACTCGCGTGAGGACATTCTCCGCGATGACTGCCCACGCCCAGGCGACGAGCAGGCAAACTTCCGTGGACGCCTCCCTTGAGCCGCTCCAGAGGCCCGAGTCGTTCATCCCCCGCCACATCGGCCCCGACGTCAGCGACGCCGAGGCCATGCTCAAGGCGCTGGATCCCCCCGTGAAGACGATTGACGAGTTTATTGCCCAAGTATTGCCCCCGGATGTCTACTCCGAGAGGAAGACGTTCGCGTGGGATAATGAGGGCCCAATGGACGAGAGCAAGATTCTGGCAAAGGCGACGGCCTGGGCCAAGGCCAACGAGGCCGCGCCGAAGCCCTTGATTGGCGCCGGATACAACCCGAGCGTCACTCCCAGAGTGATTCAGACCAACGTTTTGGAGAGCCCTGCGTGGTACACCAGTTACACGCCCTACCAGCCCGAAATCAGCCAGGGCCGTCTCGAGTCGCTCCTCAACTACCAGACCATGGTCTCTGACCTGACGGGTCTGCCGATTTCCAACGCCAGTCTTTTGGACGAGGGTACGGCCGCCGCCGAGGCCATGACCCTGTCCATGAACGCGCTTTCCAGCTCTCGCGCGAAAAGGCCCGGCAAGACCTTTGTCGTGTCCGACCTTGTTCACCCCCAGTCCATCTCCGTCCTGAGGAGCAGGGCCCAGGGTTTCGGCATCAACGTTGAGGTTGTCGACATCAGCAGCGCCGAGGACAAGATCAAGGCCCTGGGCCAGGATTTGGTCGGTGTCATGGTCCAGTACCCCGACACCAAGGGCAAGGTTGAGGACTTCAAGGGCCTTTCCGATCTCGTGCACTCCCAAGGCGCCCTTCTCAGCGCCGCCACCGATCTTCTGGCCCTGACGGTTCTCACTCCCCCCGGCGAGTGGGGTGCCGACATCGCCTTCGGCAGCGCCCAGCGTTTCGGTGTTCCCCTCGGCTTCGGCGGCCCCCACGCCGCTTTCTTCGCCGTCAAGGAGGCCCACAAGCGCCGCATGCCCGGCCGTCTTGTCGGTGTCTCCAAGGACCGCACCGGTCGCCGTGCCCTGAGACTGGCTCTGCAGACCCGCGAGCAGCACATCCGCCGTGAGAAGGCCACCAGCAACGTCTGCACTGCCCAGGCTCTGTTGGCCAACATGGCTGCGCTGTTCGCCGTCTACCACGGTCCCGAGGGCCTGAAGGAGATTGCGTCGCGACTCATCCGCCTTGCTCGCGGTGTTCAGGCTGTTGCCGAGGCCGCCGGCTTGGAGACCGAGCAGAGCGGAGCCAGCCCCGACGGCAAGGTGCTTTTCGACACCGTCGTCATCAAGGCTGGTGACAAGGCGCAGAAGATTCTGGAGGAGGGCAAGAAGGCTGGCCTGGGATTCCGCGACTACGGAAACGGCGATGTCGGTATTAGCGTCAACGAGCACGTTAACGAGGAGGTGTTCAACACTATCGCTACTGTTCTCGGCAACGTCACCGGCGCCCAGACCGCCGAGGTTGCGAGCAAGTCCTACGCTGCTCTCACTGAGAGCATCACGGAGCTTATTCCTACTACTCTCCGCCGCCAGTCTGAGTACCTCACTCACCCCGTTTTCAACACCCACCGCAGCGAGACGGAGATTCTCCGCTACATCCACCACCTGCAATCCAAGGATCTCTCTCTGGTTCACTCCATGATCCCTCTCGGCTCTTGCACCATGAAGCTCAACAGCGCCACCGAGATGGCTCTCATCTCTCTGCCTGGCTTCTCCACCATCCACCCTCACACTCCCGCCAGCGAGCTCAAGGGCTACACCGCCCTTATTGAGGAACTCTCTGAGCAGCTCAAGGGCATCACTTCTATGGACGCCGTGTCTCTCCAGCCCAACTCCGGTGCTCAGGGTGAGTTCGCTGGTCTCCGTGCCATCCGCAAGTACCTCGAGCAGAAGCCCGACGGCAAGAAGCGCGACATCTGCCTGATCCCCGTCTCCGCCCACGGCACCAACCCCGCCTCCGCCGCCATGGCCGGCATGCGTGTCGTTCCCGTTAAGTGTGACCCCGTCACCGGCAACCTCGTCATTGAGGACCTCGAGGCCAAATGCAAGCAGTACGCCGACCAGCTCGGTGCCTTTATGGTCACCTACCCCAGCACCTACGGTGTCTACGAGCCCGGCGTCAAGAAGGCCTGCGAGCTCGTCCACCAGTACGGCGGCCAGGTCTACATGGATGGCGCCAACATGAACGCCCAGATCGGCATCTGCTCCCCTGGCGAGATCGGCGCCGACGTCTGCCATCTCAACCTGCACAAGACCTTCTGCATCCCCCACGGCGGTGGCGGCCCCGGTGTCGGACCCATCTGCGTCAAGGAGCACCTCGCCCCCTACCTCCCCGCGCGCTCCGCCGACGCCGAGGAGGCCATGGTCTCCAGCGCTCCCTTCGGCAGCGCCGGCATCCTACCCATCAGCTGGGCCTACAACGCGCTCATGGGCAACGACGGCCTGCGCCTCGCGACCAAGGCCGCCATCCTCAACGCCAACTACATCCTCTCCCGCCTCAAGCCACACTTCAAGATCCTCTACACCAACGAGAACGGCCGCTGCGCACACGAATTCATCCTCGACGCGCGGCCCTTCAAGGAGACCGCCGGCGTCGAGGCGATCGACATCGCCAAGCGCCTGCAGGACTACGGCTTCCACGCGCCGACGATGAGCTTCCCCGTCGCGAACACGCTCATGATCGAGCCGACGGAGAGCGAGAGCAAGGAGGAGCT